GTTAAACAAATAAATGGTGTAACGATTTATTTTTCCCTTAGAACCCTTCCTCTGCTTATATAACATCTTTATCGAACAGTATTGATTTTTGTTTAATTTTCCTTGTTACCGTTTTAAAATTTGCGATTAAGATTTCTGTTCTAGGTCTACAGGAGTGGCGTAATTTACTCCTTGCCCATTTGTTCCTTAATTATTTACCCCTTCCACTAAGTTTTTGAACTCTTAATTTTCTTTAATTAAATTTAAATTTTAATTATTTTATTGTTCCTACATATTTTGAGCCCTTTTATTTAATTTTATTGTATAATTTTCTAAATTTCAAGTTCAATTATTGAGTTATTACCGAGGCCGTATTTTGATACGCCTTTTTAAACAAGTTTTTTCAAAGTTCCGCATATTATTTAAGCGAGGTTCAACCCGATTTAGCTCTCTTTTGCTGCGATTGAATTACTGATAACAGACGTTAGTGGAATTCAGATTTTGGTTTTCCGTAGTTTTCGGGAGTATTTTTTTCTGAATATCCTTTGAATTTATTGTTAAAAATTCTTTGGTTTTATTTGCCGTTCAAAAGAACATTTTTGGTACAATCGCGAACATTTTAAAGCCGTATTTCAACTCAGGTATGTTTTTTTTGATCAATTAATTTTCAATAATTGCAATTAGTCTTAGACGTATTTTTTTATTTTTTTACTCAGGCTTTTTACTTTGGAGTTATAAATTTTGGGCATTAACTTGTGGACAATATTTATAAATTTATTTCGACTTCAACCCGTTGAAGGAATTATCCCTTTCTTTTATCCCCGTCATCCCAAGGACGCCGCCGCTCCTGTGGATTGGAATCATAGCTTCTAAGGTTCAGGAATAAGGTCAGAAAAGATATTTTTAATGTATTCTTCACACGATTGAAGATGGCCTAAGTAACCACGTTGTGGAAAAATGTCAACCTTTTCTTCAATTATAATTTCATTCAAAAAAAAAACACACTATTCATTCAATTTAACTTAAAACTAAAATTAATTCTTGTAAAAATTATCATTTAATTTTTTTTAAAACTTTATATGTTTTTTTGTTGTTCTGTTCGATTTTGTTAGAACAATATAAAATCTTTTTTTTTTACGTTCATTTTCATTTACATCCTGTTTAAGATTATTTTTAAAAAGATTTACTAGGCCTAGAAAATTTTTCCTTGATTTAAATTTAACTTCAATCATTTCTTTTGGTTTATCAATTTTCTTTTATATAGTTTGCGTGACCTTACGGTCATTGTATTTGGTCTTTTTTTGTTGTCGAAAGATTTAATCACCAATTTTTTTTTTTTTTAAATATTGTTCGATACAACCTCCTGCTTATTAATCCTCCTTTTGTTTTTTTGAATAAAGAGAAGTGCATACCATTATTATTTTTTTTTATATAATTTTTTTTTTTGTTATTAACCCCTCACATTTCACCATTAGTGGAGTCCTTATTATTAAATGGTGTGGGGCTCCTTTTTCAACGAACCCCGCCGTCTCCACTGAACTGCAGGCAAAATAAGAACTCAAGGGGGGGTGCTATTTTGGTTCACTCATTATTTAAAATTCATTTTGATCCGTTTTGCATTTTTTTTTTAAACGTCACAATGGTTTTGCAAGTTTTGTACTATTGCTAGTAGAAGATTACATTAAGTAGCATAAAGAATTTACAAAATTACTTTACGATGTAAGCAATATGCAAGAAACAAATAAGGAAGAGGTAATTGCTAATCGAAATGAATCTCGTACAACTCCACAGATAACTGTAGGATCAACTGTGTATTTTAGAAAAAGTTCGCAAAAGAAATCTGTATTATTACGTACGTTACAGAACTTTAGAACGAAATAGAGTTCAACTAAAACCTGATTCTAATATAAAACTTAAACAATGCTGTTTCGTTAGGTTTTAATAATATGACACTGTGATTATATTAATAAACAATACATGACTAAACACTCGACACATCTAGTAAAAACTTACGACTGTTGTGTACATGTCATAACATGTACATACAGCTTTGTTCAGATTTAATGCGAATCGTCCGCTGTTAGCTCCGACATGACGCTGGTACTGGAAGAAGACGGAGACATCTTTTGTTTCTATTCAATTCGATTTCTGAGACTAAAGGAAGTTACCCTCTTCCTTAACCCGGGTAAAACCGTCCCAGTTTGAAGTGGGCCGAAGAATGGATCACCCTTTTTTAAATGTGTTAATTTTCTTTTATTTTAAATCTTTTTTGATATTTTTAAGAACAACAAATACACGATTTTTTATATGTTCCTCTAATAAATGATTTTAGAGTATTTCTATAAATAAAACGTCAGATAAAAATCTCAGTAATATAATTAATATAATATAAAACTTATCAATAAAGTTTTTTGAAACTCTCCTTCAAATTTTAAATAGAATTACTCAATATCAAAATTACGTGCATTCAAATTTGTCCGTTTTCTTAAACACAACATGGCTCGTGTTCCTGGTCAACGAGAGTCATGTTTGACTACGAGGCGAGCAATTATTGCACTTCATCAAGAAGGAATAGATAAACGGGAAATTGCCGAACGTGTAGGCTTATCAGTAAGATTTGAAGAAAACGGGAAAGTTGGCCTTACAACATCTAGATCAGGTCGAAGGCTTATTCTTAATAATGCTCAACGAAGGGGAATTGCTGAATACGTCACCGCCAATCCATTTACAACGTCCACAATTATCAAGGATTTAATTCGATTGAATACATACGAGTGCTGGAGGATGTTTTGATACCATCAGTAAGAACCTTATATCCAGAAGGGATCATCACGATTGTTCAAGACAATTCACCTGTGCATTCTTCAACAATTGTTGATGATTGGTTTGACGATCATAATGAGGTTAGGCGAATACCCTGGCCAGCGCGGTCACCTGTTCTTAACCCAATCGAAACTCTATGGGCTTTGGTGGAAAAACAGTTCAATAAAAATGTCAACTTTCCGATTCGCAACGTGGATAATTTGCGCCGCAACATTACATTTGTGTGGGAATTGTTTCACGGCAAGGATGTATGCGAAAGAGTAGCCAAATTCGATGTCCACCAGATTGCAATGTTGCATACAGAATAATGGGTATTATACAAAATACTGATAACATTTGATGGTATAATGGACCTTATAAAATTCTCCCCAATTAGATTATTATAATATTTATTATATTTTATATTGTAATAATATCACTTATGATAGCATGAAGAGGTGGCGTTAATATCAAAAAATAAAAAGTCATGGAAACAAAAAAAAAATAGTAAATAAACATAAAAAAGTGTTAAGTCGGATTTTTGAATTAACGAATTTCTGTTTGAACCTGCTACCGAAAAATTCAATTAGTACTCGGCGTATAGCGAACATGTTACAAGTATCCCAAAGTTTTGTATGGCGTGTATTGAATCGAGAAATGTTACATCCGTTTCATCGCCAAAATGTTCAAGCATTACATCCTGGAGATACTGAGCAACGCTTAGCATTTTGCCACTGGATTATTCAGCAACATGCTCAAAATAATAACTTCATTTCCCAAGTTCTGTGGTCTGATGAAGCGTGTTTCACTAGGGACGGCATAAATAATTATCATAACGAACATGTGTGGTCCTTGCAAAATCCACATGCAATTAGACCAGGAAGATTTCAGCAACGGTTTAGTGTAAACGTTTGGGGTGGCATTTTTAACAATTCTTTGCTACCTGTATGGGTGATAAATGAACGCTTAAATGCAAATATGTACAGAAATTTCTTGGGACATAACCTTTTCGATTTTATCGACGACGTACCACTTAACATCGTTCAAAATATGTGGTATCAGCACGATGGTGCACCACCACATCGAGGAAGAGAAGTCATCGCTTGGTTACATGAACATTTTCCAAACAAATGGATTGGCAATGGAGGTCCAGTAGTCTGGCCACCACGATCCCCAGATCTAAATCCGCTGGATTATTATTTCTGGGGACACATGAAGCAGCTTGTGTACCATGTAGAAATTACTACCCGTCAGCAACTACTGGACAGAATTCAAGATGCAGCTAATAGCATACGGAATGATCCAAATATCATACGTCGTGTGATAGAATCTTTACTTCGTCGATGTGANTCACAGAGTAGGGGTATTAGCGTGTTTTACTTAGTTAATTTCATTGCTTCTTTTTGATAACACTAAGATTTCGTAGATTGTGTCATTATAATATTTAACAGAAAAAGTTTGTATTCAAGTTTTACAAAAATGGAAGAAGAGGGAGGTGTGTCAGTGTCTGAAAACAGTGTAGGTAGCAGAAAACGGAAAAGTGTTAAGAAAGAGGTTAGAAAACAAATAAAGGAATCTAAGTAAGTTGCTATACGCTTATTACTAGCTAATATTATAATTAATTGAATTTGTTTGTAGATATGCTGCCAGAGATATGCAGTTGCAAAACTGGAAGTTGCAGTGTAATCATTCGCATAACAAGAAATTCGAATGTAAACAAGTTGGACAAGAAACGATGCTTCGTGTTAAACGGTGGTTTTATAAAGACAATAACTTAATGAACCAAAATGTGAGGCTTTCTCATGTAATAAAAGTAAAGCATCCTAAAAGACATCGTGAACGTGTATCGGCCTCAACTAGAAAACCGCATCAGTTTCAAATAGAATATAAGATTGCAACGAAAACCAAAAGTTATCAAGTGTGCAAGAAATTTTTCGAAACACTTTTGGAACTTTCACACCGGCGAGTTTTATGGGTAGCAAAATGTATTAACAATGGCGAGGAGTTATGTGAAAATCGAGGTGGAAATCAATGGAAAGACAAACTACTACATAAAAAGGAAAGTGTTGTTTCCTTTATAGGGAAATTTAAAGCACGCGAGTCACACTAAAACCGACAAAAATTCCCGGAGGCTGTATTTACCGTGCGATTTAACGATTTCTAAAATGTGTACCATGTACAATTCTAGTGTTGATGAATCGTTACAAGTAAACTACGCCTACTTTTCATAAAGTGTTTTCAAATGAGTTCAATTTGGGGTTTGGATCACCAGCTAGCGATATCTGCAGCTATTGTGAAAGGCTAAAGTATCAAGTGAGAACAGCATCTTCTTTGGAAGCAAAAACTACTGCCACCCGTGATTACAAAGTGCACAAGATGCGTGCAAAACAATTTCACTTATTGCTGAATCAACAGCAAAATGATAATGTCCAAACATTTTGTTTTGACCTCCAACAAGTTCAAGTGCTCCCAAAACTTCCAATACAAGAAGCATTCTACTCATTACAAGTGCCATACTACGCATTTTGCATTGTAGATCCAATAAGTCTTCACCCAGTATTTTATAACTGGACAGAAGAAGAGAATCTTTGCGGTAGAGGATCCAATGCAACCGGTTCCGCAATCTTCCATTTTCTGAAAAATCAAGATTTCACAGGTATCGAGAAAATTCGTTTCTTCAGTGACGGATGTGGGGGCCAGAATAAAAACAGCCAAATAATCCATCTTTTAATGTACTGGCTATATAAAGAAGCTCCTGCATCTGTTACAAGCATTGACCATTTTTTCCCTGTCACTGGACATTCTTATTTACCAGCGGATCGAGTTTTTGGCAGGGTCGAAAAACAACTCCGAAGAAAACCTGAGTGCATTCTGCCTGAAGATTATGAGAATGTTTATAAAACAGTTGGTACTGTCAATGTATTGCAGAGGAATTGGATTGCTTATGACATAAAAGTTCTACTGGACACGTTTAAAAAGATTGAAGGAATAAGTGAACAAAAAAGGATGTATATTAGGAAACGTACTAAGAACGGTGAGACAATAGTCGAATTTAACAGCGATATTCATTATAGAATCGACGATGATTCCAAAAAATGGCAAACATTGCTAAAACGTGGACAAAGCGCAAGACGCGCAATTTTACCGCCGCTTGAAGGTACGCCAGGCATCAGTTAACGCCGACAAAGGACGCCGACAAAGGAAAGGCGGTCAACAAACTGCTAAAAAAAAGATTTGGCGAGCAGTGGATTCAAGATCAAAATCTGAAAATCTGATTTGACTTGCTCATTGAAGATCCGATACCACAACCAGTTCAACCGCCAGCAACCGAAGAAGAGTGTCAGTGCTTAACAGAAGATACTGAACCGAAATATTAACCATTCTTAATATTTCATAAATATTCACATCTCGAATATTTCGAAAATATTCATTTTTGGGTGTTCTGTAACGTTTCTTTGGTTTATTCGTAATAAATGGTTTTACCTTAACAAACAGTTTTTTTTTCAAAGCGAAACAAGTCGACTTTTTTTTTCAAAATGCAACATGTCCAAAACTTTTTTTTTATTTTTGTTGAAAGTAGTCATCAGATATTTACCAAACTATGTACTATAATGTGCTTAAGTCAATAGCTATTGAAGAAAACAGAGTTGCTTGAATATCTCAACCCATTATCGAGAAACATGTTTTTTCTGTTTATCTCGAAAAACAATTTTTGGACATATTGCACTTTGAAAACAAGCTCCTCATATATAACTTACTATTAATATATAATTTTAATCTTTTTCTTATGAGGTTCGACTTATCGTTCCACTGCATTACCAAAGTAATACAGTAATTATTAGTGATTATTTTCATTTACTACAGGAATTGTGTAATGTAAATGGATTGCTTATACTTATTTATTTTCTTAATTTTTCTTTGTGATTCAGTCATCTTGGCCATAAATAACATCACCCCGCTAGCCTGTTCGGAACTTGTACAACACCACAGAGCAGGTAAAACCTGGATTGAATGCCTCGTGAACGTAGGTCGTTTCTAGTACAATTTTATGCCTCTACGAGCGGCTTTTTTCGCATTATATCTGAACAGAACTGTACAGGGTGGTTCAAATTCGATGTCCGAATAGGCTAACTCGGAAACTATAAGAGTTAGAAAAAAAGTAGCTTACATGTCATGATCTCGTTTTTCGAGAAACTGTTAATGCCAAAAACCTCATAGCGCTATCGTCTTTTGTTTTT